TCCACACTATCGAAAGCCTTCCTATAGTCGAAATAGGCTACATCCAGCTGGGCACCGGCCTCTGAATCGAGAGCTGGTGCTAAGTGATTCATGAAGCACATCCAGTTGGAATTTGTGCTGCGACCCGTTCGAAAACCATGCTGTGCATCATTAAATTGTACATTAACCTGCGAGTAAATGCAGGAACACAATGCTGACTCGAAGACCTTCGCGAACGCTGACAGCACCGCTATAGGTCTGTATCCACTAACATCTGAGCTCAGAGCATCCTTCGGGACCGGAGTTACCCTAGTCAGCTTCCAACCGTCAGGATACGAGCGATTACGCAAACAAACATTGAACAAATGTAGAAGAGGGCGAGCTAGTACCATCCTACAGTCCTTAACAATATAGGGGGGGGGGGGGGACACCGTTTGGACCTACCGATCGTTTGGGTTTATCACCCCTCCATGCTTACGGTCGTCCGCACGATCACATCGAATTACTGTGTAGCCGCTTGGTGCAAGTTCTCCGTCATGCACCGAGTCATTTATTCCACTTTCGGTGATAGCTATTAAGTCGGCCGTTGATCTGAGTAAATTTTTATAAAATGTTTTCAGTTTTGTACGCAGTCCCCGAACATTTTGATAGTACAACACCAATGCATGCCTAGTTTTCCCCTTCGCTGGATTTACGAAAGTTTTGAAACCAACGCCATTCACTGAAACATACGTTCACAGGCCACACATCTGCATCAGCAATTCTCTCGTACAAACTTTCCGGTACCCCAATTTTGAAAGACGAGTAATCGCGCTGTGTTTTGTGACCTAATTTTTCAACAGTGATGTTATTTCCACCGCAGATACTTTCAACGTGTGCCATCATCGTTTCTCTTGATGTGTCAGGATGTAACGACCATACATGCAAATATTTTTTCTTTTCTATGGCTTGTAAGCTATTCATTTGGCTATTTCCTCCTCTCATAATTGCTGCCCGATTGGTTTTCCATTCTTTCTTTCGATTTGTAATCGTTTGCCAATCAGTTTGTCTAGTGTCATACTGTTTCTCCGTCTGCGGCTGACTAATGCTTTCTAACTGTGACAAAGCTATATTTAATTCCTTGTTCTCTTCTCTCTTGCCGTTACTATATTCCAAACTATCTTGGTTCTTACTCGGTTTTGAATAATGTGTGAATGCCGCACCATGAGCAGCTGTTGATGGTATGAATGAATTTGATAAATTACCTTTTTTAGTTTGTAAGTAAGTCGGTCAGAGAACAAAACACGACCCGCGGTCAATCTTGCGCAAAAAGCAAATGTACTACGACACTCGCACACAATGACGGATAAACACTACTCTGATTTTATGGTCTCCTAGTACTTCGCTATTAATTAATGTTACTGTTGATTTATATTTTAAAAGGAATATTTAATTAAATGTAATTATTTAAAAGGAATATTAATTAAAGTAACATTAATTAACGCAATAATTAGCGAAGTAACCAGTTGTGTTAGACCATATGCCAAAGCAAAGTCGTAGACAGATCTACCCGCATGATCGGTTAAACGAGAACCAAGCCATTCAGCGTGGTGGGCGTTGAAATCACCGAGTATCACGATCTCTGCGGATGGGACCTGTTGTAGCACGGAGTCTGCAGCCATTTGGACGTGGTCGATGAGTCGGTCTGTGTCGGCATTACCGCTATGGGACCTATAGAGGCACCCGTAGATGCGGGGATGGTCGTCGCTGTCTACGCGCAGCCATAGGATGGACAGGTCCGTACCTTCAAGGCTGCCGAGACGTCGAAAACAGATGTCCTCTCTGACGTATACACAAACTCCAGCCCGGGGCACAAAGGAGTGTTCCAATTTGTATCGCAGGTAGGAGAGATATGAAGTATATCAGCCGGAGAGGACTTAAATGTTACGTACATACGTCTAATAGCAACCACAACCTGATGCAAAAAGATAAACTTATTAATATTTTGGTATAATGTAATAACCAAAATAAACCACTAAACAAATATTAATATTCTAAAGTCTGTCCACATTTAAGTAATTGATAGACATGTCGTTTCCAATAAAGTCCATCTACTTCTACCATATAACTTACACCAGAAACTTCAATAATGCGATCTCTCACCATCACCTTTTCAAGTTGTGAATGTTTTTAAAGGTACTTTTACTATTAATTGTGAGCTTTACTTGCTCAGTATCAATTTTGTCCACTACTGGATTTGGTCTTAAAAACGACATCCAACTCTCTGCCAAACATTAGTTTTGCTATTGCTAATTCTGTCTGTAGTTTTGTGCTCAGCGTTTCTATAATCAAATAGAAATAGATTACATGTATATTCAATCGTATGACCACTCTCTACAATCTTTACTACATGTGTTTTGAAAGACTCCACAGAACGTTACGCTAATCCATTTGCAGATGGGTAGTATGTTGCAGTGAAAATCTGGTTTACTCCCGCAATTTTACATTTTTTTTTTAATTTCTTCACTTTCCATATTGGATCATTATCACTAACTAGAAGTAAGGGATACCTTACAAAAATGCTTTTGAACACTTCATTTGTTTTTTGTGCAGTAATTTTATTTATAACATATGCTTCTGACCATTTAGAGTAAGCGTCTATAATAACTAAAAACATTTCTGAATAAAGAGGGCCCAAAAAATCTGCATATAGTATATGCCAAACAGTAGGTGGCTATGGCCACACTGTTAATTTGTTTTTTCCTGGGTTCTTATGGTTTTGTAAACAAATAAAATAATACAATTTTTTGTTATAATTTCAATTTCTTTATCCATGTCTGGCCACCAAAAATAAGATCTTGTTATTTCTTTTATTCATGTGGTACCTAAATAGCTAGCATGTAACTCACATATGACATTATTTCTTATACTTTTAGGTATTATTACCCTATACCCCCACAACAAACATTCTTTTTCCATAGAGATTTCATTTTTTCTGACTAAATATGGTTCGTATTCTTCATCAAAATCATTTTTGTTGGCCAGCCATCTCTACAATATCTAAGGATATTAGATGTACACATAATGTTATCTTTTTTTGTTTCGCTTTGAATAGTTTGCCAATTTAAGGTATTTAAATTTGATTTATGAATATAATTTATTGTGTTGTATTCATAGTTATTTTCAAGAAATTCTAAGTTTTTAAAATTATCATCTTGACATGTGGTAACTATACGTGACAAATAGTCAGCAGGGTTATTTTTTGGATTTTATGTGTTGAATTTTGTAGTTGAATCCACTTAAGAAAATTGACCAATAACGTAATCGCCTTGCTGCCATTTTGGGTATTCCATACTTCGGTCCTAATATTTTTGTTAGTGCCTCATAATCAGTTTGTAAAATATATTTTTTCCAAATTAATATTTTCATAGAATTTATTTACTACAAAGATTATTGCATAAGCCTTCATCTCCAAAATTGGGTATTTCATTTGAGAATCATTTAATTTTTTACTTACAAATGCTACTGGTTTTATTATGTTTTTACTATACTTTATAGACAATACAGCAGCTACACCACAATCTGCAGATTTATTAGATTATTTATCCATGGTTTCTTATTTGGTTTATTTATTTTCTGTGATATTTTTAGACAATTTTTAATTGATGTATGTATTTGATTTTTAAATGACAGACACATTTTATCTACTTGGTTTTCAATTATGTTAAGATTTTCTGCTGATAACAGCATGGGATAGTGTCGGCTCTCATTTATGTAGAAAGCTGTATCTATAAGTTTCCAGACTATTATAGTGATAATCTTTTTTTCATTAAAAATCAATGTAGAATAAATTTTTAATGCACTTTAAAGAAGTTATAAATACAGGTTTTTACGACCATGACAGATGATTTAAGTAGCGTCATATCGGAGGCAAAAACGTCCGTGGCTATTGCGGCCGATATGAGAACCAGAGAGACATCGACCTTATTTCTGACGCTGGTGCTTTGTGTAAGGCTGTATTAGAACACTAATGCCCCTATTCGGGTGTTTATCAGCTAAGAACTGAAACCATGCATTATCGTGATTGAAGCAATCGTCCATTTCTAGAATATAGTAGTAATAGTTTAATATTAAGTACATTCAGCACTTGTTCTGAAAAACTTTAATTTTAACTTTTAAACTGCCATTGCTGCGTGCAAAATTAAAAATGTAACGAAATATAGTTAATTTTCTACCCACTTCTAACAAGAGGAGGTACACAATTCGACTGTATGTTTTTTATGTGTGTTACCTAATTAGTTCTTTCTGGATGAACCGATTTCGGTGATTCTTTTTTATTTGAAAGTTGGTGCTCCACATGTGGTCCGCTATAAATTTGATAAAGGTCTGACCAATAGTTTTATGAAACCAACAGATCCAAAAACACAGTCGTATGATATAACCTATTATACTTAACTTAGCTTTGGTAATAGTTAGGAACACATCGAAAAGCAACTTAAAAAAACCGTCAATGACCATATTTACTATACTGTCAACTGTCAAAATGGCGTCGTTAGTCGTTAAAGCAACGCCATTTTGACCTTATATTTTTTTAAAACGTTACCTCTACACCAACTGTAGTGAATCCCTCCACACTAGGATTTTCAACTGCACCACAGAGCCGTCTTGTGCTATTTGATTGACTGATGAAGAGCTATCGTCTCACAGAGCCACCTATGCAAACAAAGCTGTAGTTTATGAGTTATAAGAAAGTGACCATATTAACTGGATGATCATATTGTCGTTACAGTCTATTAAAGTCCACTGCTGAACATAGGTTTCTCCCATAGATTGCCTCATAGGGGGACATTTGCCATAGCTGTTTTTATTTTTAGTCGTTATTAGAAAGACGCTGCTGTCCATCTCTTGATTTGTTTTCTCTGTCGCCCCTTACGACACCCGTAGGATGATTTAGGGTAGCGGATATTCTTACACCGCCTCTACATGGGATACAATATTACCCTCACGTATTTTGTGATATGTGTGTGTGTTGCGGGGCGCAGAGCTACCTGCGGCAGCTGCTGGAGGGCATCGCGTACTGCCACGGGCGGCGCGTGCTGCACCGCGACCTCAAGCCGCAGAACCTGCTGGTGGACGCGGAGGGTCGCATCAAACTGGCCGATTTCGGGCTGGCGCGCGCCTTCGGCATCCCCGTGCGCGCCTACACGCACGAGGTGGTTACGCTGTGGTACCGCGCGCCCGAGATCCTGCTCGGCGCCAAGTTCTACTCCACCGCTGTCGACGTCTGGAGTCTCGCCTGCATCTACGCCGAGATGGTGAGCGTCCAGCCTCTTGTTGTCCTCGCTTATGCTCTTCTACTCCTTTTTATAGTATAAGTGACAAACGAACACAGTCCACCTGATAGTAAGTGGAGCATCCAGAATTTCAACCCTATGATATCGGTATAAAATTTCTTTTCCTGAAGTGTTCCACATTTTTTAATGCTGTTTGGATACCATTGGCGTTCTGTTTGTTACTATAATTTTGAACGGTTTAAATGAACTCGTACATTTGATGTCGTATGTTTCGATATATTTGAGAAAGATTGATGTTTTCAATAATTTGGCTACTATGTGTGGTTGAATATTAATGATCACTTTGGCTGTTTCAAAATATTTGAACAACTTGACTGCTGCCTTATATCTGATGCTGACTGTACATCTGTGCAGCACGGCTCTACCACACATACCATAGACTAAATAAAATGTCTCATTACTAATAAAAAGTATTCTCATCGCCCACTGTCTGTAGTGCAGTAGCTTTATGCTGCTACTGCACAAAGATTTACCTTCTCCGGTCGTGCCTACTTATTATGCTGTAGTTTTGTTCTACTTCATGTACCGTTACTGTTACAGCCTATTAAAGTCTACTGCTGAAATGAGACATTCTATCTTAGTCCTCACGGGTGACAACACATCTGCATTTTGATTCGCAAACGAGGATAGATGTAGATGTCTATGGGCCACAGCAACCATTTACCATCAGGTGTACTCGTTTGTTGTTACCCTATACTAAAAAAAGATAAAAGATGGCTTAAAAGACAACCTGGCTTGAAGCCACAAATCTTAATAAATAATATTACAGAAAGGAACATTGATAATTTTATATGGAGTACAATGTATATTTTTTATAATAAAACTTAGAACAAAACAAATCGCACCCTATCTTATTAAGATAAAGTTATATTTCCTATTGTGTCCCGCATTTTTGAATACTTTAGCTTCGCTACCATTGAAGTTTTGTTTGTTACTTTATTATGGACTGTTTGACTGACCATATATTTGTCGCTGTATATGTTCCGATTTATTTGAGCAAGATTAGCGATCACAAGAATTTGCCTATATTGGATGGTTGAATATTAATGATCGCATTGGATGTTTCTAAATATTTTATCACCTTGACTGCTACCTTCTTTTTGACGCTGACTGTAGCACAAATGGGTCGACTCGACCGGGGTAGGACCATGCTCTCACAAAATACTATCGTAAAATAGCAGCTTAATGTTGCCGTGTTTTGTATGGTGAGTGTAGAGAACTGGGGATCCTTTTTACTGGAAACGAGGCATTCCATCTTAGTCCTCACGGGTGACAACGCATCTGTATTTTGATTCTTAATTGAGGATAAATGAAGATGTTCATGGGTTACAGCATCCGCTTACCATTAGGTGAACTGTGTGTGGAAAATAATCATGTTTGCAGTTCACACAAGATAGAAGTGAAACCTTTAAATGAAATGAAATGAAGTACAAAATATTTCACGGGAAATTATTTATTTAATACGATAATTTTTAACCACAAGTGCGACAGAAAATAAAAGATATAAGTTTCATTTTATGGCAAATAAATATTATGATCCTTATTTTTAGACGTGTAGACTAAATGTGTAAATGTTAGAGTAATAAATAAATAAAAAGCGAGTTTTAGTGTGAGTAAAATTGCTTTGTAATAGCGCCATCTGGATACTTCATTTTATTAGTAGTAAGTTCATTTTATTGAAGAAAAATTGATTTACTCTTAGTGTGCGTCCTGAGTGACGGCGCATCTTGTATGGCGGATTGCGGTGCGGATTTACGTGTCGATACATGTCCTTAGTGCACGTTTACTTTAGTTTTAATAATGTCGATATCAAAATTCAAACGTTTATAATATTAAGAAAGAAGCAGTTTCTTTACGGATGATATATTTTTGTGAAAAAATAAACAAAACAGAAAAAAGAAGTGGTCAAAGGTTAGACTACCGTACTCGTATATGTAGAATTGAGACGATGCCCGGAGTTGGAATATTATGTGCCAAATGGAGAATATTAAATAAAAGCATCGAAACTAATGTTGATCATGTCCACCTTATTACCAAAACAGCTTGTTTACTTCACAATATTATTATTGTTGATAAAGAAGGGACGCATATTATGGCATACAACTCTATTGATTGTGTTCCAAGTGGTAATAGATCTCACACCTCAAGACATAACATGCGACGTACAAATTGATCTCGTATGTATCTAATTTGTACACTGGAAGCATTATTTATTACGTTTGCTCTGTAATATTAAAATATACTTACCATTTTGATTCGAAAACTTTTCTTTTATTTCGTTCCATGCTAGCTTTACGAACCTTTTATTTTTATGGTAAATGTGCCTGGATATCCAAATGAGACTTTTTCGTTATACTGCTGTGATAAAATTTTCAGCAGGAAAGTCTTCATTTAAATTAATTTGCGACGATTCACTTCACTATTCGCGAGTCAAAATCGAAATACGCGTATTGATGAGCGCATCCGCCAGTAGAATACGCCATCGCCGTGAAGTGTGCGCGCCCGCTCGCATTTCAGACGTTCCGAGTTCAAACGTGTCGAACATTTGTTTAATGTGCCGTTAATTCCGCCTGCGGTGCACCGTCACTCAGGATGCACTCTGGTGGTAAAATAAACGTTAGATGGGTTAAACACGATTAATTTAGTATAATATTTTATTTCATTCTATCGTAGGCCAAATCGCTTAGATGTATGTATATGTTTGTCCCTTTTTAGAGTCGCTTTTTTGTTTCATCGAGTTTCAAAATCATAAAGATACTAAAGAAGTTTTCATTTCAAAAAAACCTTCTTGTACAATGTTTCTGTAAAAAAAAAACGTTCAATCTTGATTATTTGACACACTGAACACTTTTGGTGAATTGCGGTTTGGTCGGTGTCGGAACGCAGGCGAGCGGGCGCACGCTGTTCCCGGGCGACAGCGAGATCGACCAGCTGTTCCGCGTGTTCCGCGCGCTGGGCACGCCGGGCGGCGAGCTGTGGGCGGGCGCGCGCCGCCTGCCCGACTTCCGCGCCGCCTTCCCGCGCTGGCCGCCGCGCGCCGCGCGCCTGCTGCTGCCCGAGCCGCTGCAGGCGCAGCCGCACGCCGCCGCGCTGTTCGAGGCCATGCTGCGCTACGAGCCGGCCGAGCGCGTGTCGGCGCGCGCCGCGCTGCTCCACCCCTACCTGGCCGACGCGCGCCGCACGCCGCCGCCGCTGCCCCTGCGCGCCGCACACGCACAAGCCTCCCCGCCCCACCCCGCACACTCGCCCGCCCCCGCGCCCGCCACGTAGCGCGCCGCACTGCTCCACCCCTACCTGGCCGACGCGCGCCGCACGCCGCCGCCGCTGCCCCTGCGCGCCGCACACGCACAAGCCTCCCCGCCCCACCCCGCACACTCGCCCGCCCCCGCCCCCGCGCCCGCCACGTAGCGCGCCGCGCTGCTCCTGCCCCAGCGAGCCGCACAGGTACACGCCCCCCCGCCCGCGCCCGCGCCCTACACGTTGCGCTGCAAGCCGCACCTTGTACATACTTGCTTACGAAATAAATATTTATTCCAATTCTGAACTTTTATTACACACCTCTTCGAAAAATAATTAAAATAAAACACTCGGACACATTCAAGTTTGTTTCGTAAACAATATCGTTTAAGTCCCTTGAGATACCGCTGAAGACCAACAGTCTAGGAGAAATCGGCGCATTAGTATCGAAAACTATTTCACCTCAATTTTTTTATGCGATTCTCTTCAAATTTTCCTACTGATGATATAAAATAAACGTATGTTGGCATGAGGCAAGTCGGTGCCATATTGTATAAACCGAAATTGTTTAAACAATTGCAAGAGATTTTTATTTTCAAACGGGACAAATTGTCTTTACATTCTTTGATGAAATACGATTTAAAAAAGTCCTAAGTATGACTTTTTACGATGACGTCAATATTAGCGGAGTTATGATTTTTTTAAGGTTTGAAAAATCCCATTTGTGATATTTTTTACCCTTTAAAAATATATAAAGAAAAACAATAAAACATAAAAAATATTTTTTTAAATATTCCTTTATGAAATACATATAAAAAAAATCCTATGACTTTTTATAATAAAGTTAATGTTTTCGGAATTATGAATCCCAAATACGGATACTTTTGACCCATTAAAAATATAATAAGTTGGGGGAAAATTTTTCTTCGTATTTTCTTTTTATAACATTGAATAAAAATCTCTTTGATTATACATACTGTTTGTAAGTATCTGTCTGGTTTTAATATCAATACAAATTGGACATTAAGAAAAAGTAAAAAACAATTCCCGCCATTTTTCAATTGTTTTTCTGTTCGCCAAAATGAGTGAATCTAATCTGAATCTAACAAAGAAATTCGATACATTTTTTTTTATAGGATCGGGTGAAAAGTGAGCACACAGTCCACCTGATGGTAAGTGGTTACTGTGACCCATAGACATCTACATCTATCCTCAATAAATACTCAAGATGCAGATGCGTTGTCACCCGTGAAGACTAAGATGGAATGCCTCTTATTTTGCCAGTAAAAAGGGTCTCCGGTTCTCTACACTCACCATACGCGAAACACAGCAGCGTTAAGCTGCTGTTTTACGCAGGTTTTCTGTGAGAGCGTTGTCCTTCACCGTTCGAGCCGACCCATTCGTGCTACAACCATAATATAGCTGCAGCATGGCTCTACCACGTAGAAAGTCCTGAAGTTTTATCACAAAAAGGGAAAAATGCGAGTCAAGGCGCGAAAAAAATTTTGACGTTTACGGACCAATGCAGTGTCAGTAAGAGTAACACAAAGTTGGTTCAAGCGTTTTCAGTCCTGGAATTTTGATGTCAAAGATGCAGCTCGCTCTGGTCGCACTCATACGGATAAAGTCGATCCCATTTTTGAAAAAGTGGAGCAATATCGGCATATTAGATACAACATAGCCGAGGAATTGAGGATTGACCACAAAACAGTGTAAACCCATTTTAAAAAAAAGACAGGCTATACAAAAAAGTTCAATATTACAGTACCACACAAGCTCACTGAAAGAAACCTTATTAATCTTCAAAGAATACTTTCAAGTCACTCTATCAAGTCCGGATGTAAGGTCTCATCATAACTAAGAAAATGTGCCCAAACTCGGCAGAGGGATCCCAAGCAGAGGGATCCCATAATTAATAAAATCGAATCCAAACCCAAGTATACCACTGCTAGACTTCAAGATACTGTAAGCTCATTCTGCGTAAATCGAACCAAAAATTAATCTTAAAAAACTGAAGGTAGCCGGGCTAACTATGACAGCAGGACGTCAAACACCTCAGTCCCCCGTGACCACGGGTGCTGGAAAGCACCCGATACATCGGGAATATAAAATAATAAGTTAATATACGCGATAAAATCCGTAAAATTAGTTTTATTTAAATGTTAATAAGTTCAACAATCATTTATCTTTCTAACAATGTGCTTTTTATATCATTTATATGTATATAATATGATTGCTAGATACGATTTCATGCGAGAAAACGTTGGAATCTTAATTTTTAGGAGCTAGTAGAATATACCTTCGCGCTTTGCGCTTAAGGCATGCAATTGTCCCGTTTGTAAATAAATGAGAGAGTTGCCCCATGACATCATGCATTTATATCATCAGTAGAACAATTTGAAGAGAATCGCATAAAAAAATTGAGGTCAATAGTTTTCGATACTCATGCGCGATTCCTCCTGGACTACAAGGCAGTCAGAAGTTCAAGAAAGTCAGATTGGACATTAAATTTTTATGTTATCGGCATAAAGAATTATTTTGGATGCATGAAACAGGAGGCAGGAACTTATGTCATAAATCGCAAAAAGCAATGGACCTAATAACGACCCCTGCGGTATTCCTTGCATTCATTGCCTTGCGGTATTGAGAGCTTCTTTAACAGCGATTTTCAATATAAGATTTAAACCCGCTTAAACACATCACCGTTGATACTCAATTCGAATAGTTTACACAGAAGTATAAAGTGATCTATATGATCTGTAGTCAGTGTAGACTATACCGAATTTTAAAGGTTCCGACATAATGTCATACGTGGTACAGCCATACTGTAGCTATATTATTAGTATCTCGACTAGGCTCGACCGGGGAAAGACCACGCTCTCACAGAATACCAGCGTAAAATAGCAGCTTAACACTGATGTGTTTCGTATGGTGAGTGTAGAAAAGAAACACTTTTTACTGGAAAAGAGATATTTCATCTTAGTCCTCACGGGTGACAACGCATCTGCATTTTGATTCTTTATTGAGGAGAGATGTAGATGTCTACAACCACTTACCATCAGGTGGACTGTGTGCTCGTTTGTCATCCTATCCTATATAAAAAAAATGTCAAGCAAAAAAGTGTTGACAGTCACTAAGTGTTTGATGCTATGATATTGTTACGAACTTGGGATTCGAGATAATTAAAAACTGCCGAGTGAATTACCAAAATTGACTATTTAATTACACAACACTAATTACAATTTAAAATCACACTAATAATAAAACACAGTTCGCCGTTCGAAGTATTCTCTTGTATCGCCAATTCAATACTGCCTCGGTCGTCGTCTATACCGGCCTTATATAGGGCATCAGGTAGTTTCCAGAACCTACTACTGTAGCGACATCTACAATGTTCGAGTACATATCGGTCCCGAAATTTCTGGAAGGATCTTGACTCCTAGTTCTGCTACTCGACACTAGAGGGCGCTAGTGTAACTAGTGTTGCCATGTCCAAGACATTAATAGTGGCGTGCAACACTTTCTGCTACTCGACACTAGAGGGCGCTAGTGTAACTAGTGTTGCGATGTACAAGACATTAATAGTGGCGCGCAACACTGCCCCCTCCTAAGACATGCTCGTCCCGAGCATTATTGGCCCCATAATAACGCGCCAGTCGATCCACATGGACAATCTTAGGAGTACCTCTGGCACCTTTCTGTATCCGGTAGGTTACATCATTGATCCTTGTCACAATCCGGTACGGTCCGTCCCATTTAGCTTGAAGCTTAGGAGATTTCCCTTTGCTGCGTACTGGATTGTGTAACCACACTAGTGAACCTTCATCAAACCCCTTGTTGTTCATTTTGCGGTCATACCGTGTTTTCATCTTCTCAGACGTTTGCTGGCCCGTCTGTCTGACGTGCTCATAAATGTCATTCATTTTGTTTCGCAAGTCATTTGCATAATCGGTTATACTGCGTGGGGCGTCAAGTGGTATTTCGGTGATCAGGTCTGCAGGCAGCCGTAATTCTCTCTCAAAGTTTGCGAAAGCTGGTGTCACTTTTCTTTCTGAACAGCGTTGTTTTCAAGCGCTGTTTACTTTCGTGAACAGCGCTTCGATATGACAACAAAAACGGTTGTACGTGCCTGTCCCAGTCTCGTTGCCGTTTTTCCACAACTTTTGCTAGGTACCTCTCCAATGTCTGATTAAATCGTTCTATCTTTCCATCAGATTGTGCGTGGTAAGAAGTAGTTCGTGTTTTATGAGTACCCATAACTCGGCAAGTTTCCTGGAATATTTGAGACTCAAAATTCCTTCCTTGATCACTGTGAATCTCTAAAGGTACTCCAAAACGACAGAAGACTTCATAACTAGTTTATCTGCAACTGTTGAAGCTTCTTGATTTGGAATGGCGAAGACTTCTGGCCACTTAGTGAAGTAATCCATCACAACCATGAAATACTTGTTAACACTTTCACTTTCCGGAAACGGCCCCGCAACGTCAATGACTATCCTCTCCCATGGTGCACCAACATTGTACAATTTCAATGCGCCTCTACTACGAGTTTGAGGTCCCTTTACAGCCGCACAACTTGTACATTTGCGGCACCAGTCCTCGACATCGTCACGATAGTGGACCCAGTAAAACCGTTCTCGGATCTTCAGTAGAGTTCGTTTAACTCCCAGGTGGCCTCCTGAACAACCAATATGGTACAGCTGTAGAACATCCGGTACTTTAGCCGTAGGGACAACTATTTGCAAATGACATCTGTCTCCCCGACCATTTTCCTATTTACGGCACAGGAATCCATCCTGAATCAGCAAACTGTTCCATTGGGCCCAATAGTTTTTCGTGGTCGAACTCATTGCTGAGACGTCGCTCCACTTGGGCTTAGGAGCACTAGCCTTCAACTCCATCTCCTTCTCTCCACGGACGGGTATGCGCTTACCGGTGGCTGTCACCAAATTAATGCGTTCTCGGTTGTATGCGGAGTCCCCAAGGAACTGACTTATAAGTTGGCAACTGACAACCGTGCGAGAGGCTCCAGT